TTACTTTAGGAAAGTGTTATTGCATTCATTATTGTGCTTGCACATTGAACGCAAATTTCATCCGGATCATTCAACATTGCTGTGAACTAGGGATTCATTTTTAGATAAATAATCTTTATTTCTTTCTCTCCCTTTCTTTCTATTTTCTACAATTTTTTTAATGTCATTTTTTCTTCATGGGGGCCAGAGTCTGATCAGTGGTCAGTGGCTGCAGTCAGTCAGCAGGAGATCACTACATATGACATTTCAAATAAGTCACTTATAAGACATTTCAAAACAAGAAAACAGGGTCTTTGGTGTGAACTTTGAGAGGTTGTTCATACCAGCAAGCCTTGCTGAACACATAGCCGCTGGTGTGCACTCAGAGGAACAGTCCCAATGCACTTGTAGATAGGTTGAAGATAATTAGTTCGGTGCTGCCCTGGATGGGAGGGTAGGGGGTTAATGTTTTTTCTGGTTCTTTAGCTTTTGAAGGGATCTTTGGACCTGACCCACTGCACCCGTGATTAAAAAAAAAAAAAAAAAAAAAAAAAAAGGGAAGGGAAGGGGGTCAGTGGACCACGTCAAGGGGGTTGGGAGAGCAGACATGGATTGCCTGGCCTTGCTTCTTCTGTGTTCTATAGTCTTGCCTGTTTTCCCACTCTCTACTACCTGGATGAAAAGCCATCAAAACTTGGTTTGCCCCAAAGACACCAGCTGCTGGAGCATGCCACAAGGTAGATGTTATCCGCACTCCCTAGGCAGCATTCCTTCTCCCATAACAACTGAAACAGAACTTCAATTCAGAGGTCCCCATCCTGTACAGAGGTACAGAAGTTCAAGAGTCAAAGTCAAGTGCACGTTGGAGCCCATGCTATGTGCACGGTGGGGTACCCATGCTGCTACCGGGACTGGTACAGGGAAACACTGGGCATGTGGCCGTGATCAGTGTTCGGCACCACCAGCCTAAATGCAAGCTACAGTGGGAAGATGTACATTTACACAAGTATCTGAGATTTAACTGGAGAACAGTTGTGCAAATGTGCATGGTGTACGTTCATCTCTAAGAGTAGAGCCCCATGTTAAAGTTGATTATTCCCCGATGACAGCCTTGTCCCAGGGCATTGGTGAAATTGGCACCAAGCAAAAAAGGTACCCCATGTGTGTGAAATAGAGCGAGACCATGTACAAGGTGCCTAGCGTAGTCCAGGAGAACCCACCCTGGGTGAAGGCCTTTCATGTTTACCTGACTTGGCACCCAGTGAGTTAAATGGAAAACATAGGACATGTCAAACAACCACCACCCTGTTCTGTACCTACACACCGATCCTGGCACATCACACTTTACTTTTTCTTATAGTTAGAGCTTTATTGAAATAATCACAAGTGACATTTCATTCAGGTCTATTCACTGCAGCAACATTGTGATGCAGTAGAGTCACAATGCGCTGCATTGAAAATAGTCAAGTTACTTTTTTCAGAGCACATCACTACATCGCAGTAGTGTGAACTGACCTCATGGAAAACAAGGCAAATTGGCTTTCCTGACAGACTTCATAACAGCATTTGTATGGGTTAACTTAATCTCCAATCCTATAGGACCCCACTCCAATAAATTTTTGTCCTTGTAGAACCCGACGTGTTTGAAATCTTACCTTGTTCCTACGCTCAGGATGACAGCGTCTGTGGCCAAGGCCTGGCTCAGAATGCAAGCCATTTTTCAGGAGACTTGAAGAGATGCATCCCTGGTCAGTCCCAGCAGATATCAGCAGGGTAGAGGAAGGGGCAGATGGATGCAGTGCCAATGGAGAGCTGAGCAGGTGCATCCCTCTTCAGTTCCAGGAGACCCCAGCTATTAAATCGTCTGGAAAAAAAAAAAAAAAAGGAGAAGTCCCTTGAAGAGCTAAGGCCCTGCCATTGGTGGGCAATTGGCATTTAGGCTGGATAGTCGTGCTTTTAGCAGGTGGCCATTTAATGCCCTAAACAGATGCAGCAGTCTCCTTACTCCAGGCAGGTTCAATGCAGATGTATATGTATCACTACCCTTTTAAGATTTTCTTAGTAATTTTTGGGTTCCCTGTCAATCTGGACCTCTCATTGAAAGATCCAACCTCTGCTGACACCACCATGCTCTGGTGACCCAAATAAATCACAAAACAGAAGATGTAATGCTTCCCTGATTGATGGTAAAGAATTAGGTTCCCTTAAAGAGCTCTAACCATGTATTGAGCTTGACATAGTAAATAGCAACGATTGGCATAAATGTCTATGGACAAAGGCATGAACAGTAGTAAGAATCCTGCTCTACAGAAAGGGATTGGTTGATTCAGTTGGCAGTGCTGTTTCTTGATCTGTAACAGTATATCCTGCAGTCAGCTAACTGTACAGCAGATGTATTCCAACGATAGCGCTGGTATAACTAGGATGCAAACTTGGGTAATTCTATGTAATGTTCACAACTATGTGCAGGTAGTTACGTAACTGAGGTGACGAACTATTAAATGTTCACTTTGTTAGTGGATGCATGGGTCTCTGCTTAGCAGGCCGGGTGGTCAGCAAGTTCTTTCTGCTTGCTCTCTCTCCAATCCTGGCTCCGTGGCCTTGTACAGCACTTCAGCTGTCAGCACACCTCCTCCTTCAAACTCCCTACATACGCTCCTCGCCAATCTCCCAGGCTTTGATATTTATATACCCCCACCCACACGCTACCTCTCTTGGTAAATGTAGTCTCAGACATTCTGCTTATCAGCGAAGTCCTGCTGTTCAGAATTACAAGTTCCAGTTCTTTAGCAGCTTTGGAGTATGTTACAGCACCACAGGGGTAACTGACCCTAGGTTTCTGTGCAATTGGATCCGTAGGTTCTGTACTTGAGCCCATAGGGCCTTGCTGTCACCTTCTGCTTTTACCCCTCCTTGGACGACTACCTGGTGCAAGATCTTGCCCAACCTGTGGACAGTTTCTCCCCGTCTCGTTGATAGCATGTTCAAAAATATAGAGCAACTCTGTGCAATTCCCAACTCACCCAAACACTTCATGTAAGGCCTCAAGACACTCATAGGTAGTACAGCCTGGCTTCTCCCATTTTAACTTACATACAATGTCCAAGGCAGGAGCCGTCAAGCTTTCCACTACCTTTTTACAGTGTCAGCTACTTCCCATTCTTCTATAGCCTGGAGGGCTTGGTCCCTAAGGGCGTAGGAGTCTTCCCAGAGAAGAATGTTAGTCTCCGATATCTGTGACTAGTAATAGAGGCAGAGTTTTTCAGTAAATCGCTATGAACTTCAGTTGGCACTGCTGTATCTTGATCTGTAACTGTATATCCTGCAGTCAGCTAACTGTACTGCAGATGTATTCCAAAGATGGAGCTGGTATAACTAGGCCACAAACTAGGGCAACTGTATGTAATGTTCACAACTATGTGCAGGTAGACGAACTAGCAATGTTCACTTTGTTAGTGGATGCATTGGTCTCTCTCATCTGATCAATGTGGTTCGGCAGATTGCCACGATCCATCTTTCCACATGGATAGGGACAGTCCACGGGCCCTCTGGTTCAGACTTGGTGTTGCGCTCGGTCTCCTGCTGTCAGAATGGCCTGCTTGGCAGGCTGATCAGCAAGTTCGTCTCTCTCTCTCTCTCGCTCTCATATCCTGGCTCCGCAGCCTAGTTCAGCACTTCAGCCATCAGCACACCCCCTTCTCCTTCAATCTCCTTCTGCACTCTCTTTGCCAATCTCCTGGGCTTTAATATTTATATGCCCCCACCCACACGCTACCTCTCTTCGTAGTCTCAGACAATCTGCTTATCAGCCAAATCCTGCTGTTTCAGAAATACAAGTTCCAGAGGGCTGTTCTGTCAATGTGCATAACCCTGAATAGCAGGCCAGCACAATCTAATGTCCACTTTAATGTATTGCAAGTAATAACATTTTAGTGGGTTACATATACAGTACACTATATTGCCTTTACACGCACATGAACTTTAATGGCATCCCAGTCTTAGTCCGTAGGGTTCAATATTGAGTAAGCGCACACTTTGCAGCTATAACATCTTCAGCTCTTCTGCAAAGGCTGTCCACAAGGTTTAGGAGTGTGTCTATGGAAATGTTTTGACCATTTTTCCAGAAGCTCATTTGTGAGGTCAGGCATGGATGTTGGATGAGAAGGCCTGGCTCGCAGTCTCCGCTCTAATTCATCCCAAAGGTGTTCTATCGGGCAGGGGGGCGGACTGACAATTTATAGGGCCCCTAGGCAATAACGGATCATGGGGCTCCTGTGTCCATGCCCACACTCAAAGCACACAAAAAAAAAAAAAAAAAAAAAAAGGAAGAGTACCAGGGGCATTTCATGGGGCCTCCTACTGACCCCGGGGGCCCTCGGGCAGTGCCCGAATGGTCAGTCCGCCCCTGCTATTGGGTTGAGGTCAGGATTCTGTGCAGGCCATTCAAGTTCCTCTCCCCAAACTTGCTCACCCATGTCTTCATGGACCTTACTTTGAGCACTGGGGCACAGTCATGTTGGAACAGGAAGGGGCCATCCCCAAACTGTTCCTACAAAGTTGGGAGCATGAAATTGTCCAAAATGTCTTGGTATGCTGACACTTTAAGTATTCACTTTACTGGAACTAAGGGGCCAAACCCAACCCCTGAAAAACAACCCCACACCATAATCCACTAAACTTCACACTTGGCACAATGCAGTCAGGCAAGTACCATTCTCCTGGCAACCGCCAAACCCAGACACGTCTATCAGGCAGAGAAGCGCGATTCATTACTCCAGAGAACACGTCTCCACTGCTCTAGAGTCCAGTGGCAGCATGCTTTACACCACTGCATCAGATGCTTTGCATTGCACTTGGTGATGTCAGGCTTGGATGCAGCTGCTCAGCTATGGAAACCCATTCCATGAAGCCCTCTATGCACTGTTGTGCTACTCTGAAGGCCACATGAAGCTTATAGATCTTTAGATATTGACTCTGCAGACAGTTTGGTGACTTCTGCGTACTGTGCGCTTCAGCATGTGCTGACCCCGCTGTCATTTTACGTGCCTACCACTTCTTGGCAGAGTTGCTGTTCCCAGTTGCTTCCACTTTGTTATAATACTACTAACAGTTGACCGTGGAGAATTTAGTAACAAGGAAATTTCACAGATGGACTTATTGCACAGGTGGCAACCTATCACGGTACCACATTTGAATTTTCTGAGCTCCTGAGAGCGACCCATTCCTTCACAATTGTTTGTAGAAGCAGTCTGCATGCCTAGGGGCTTGAATTTTAACACCTGTGGCCATGGAGGTGATTGGAACACCTGAATCCAATGATTTGGAGGGGTGTCCCAATACTTTTGGGGCAATATAGTGTATATCTTTCAACTTCCATGGCAGTTTGTGTGTGTATTTTGTCCCTTGGATTTTTTTTTTTTTTCCTTGGCTCTAGTGGTTTTTGGCCTCTCATGGCGGCTGGAGTGCATTTGCGTTCCAAGCCGCCGCTCTGTTCCAGCCTGTCGTCCTGTAATTGCTACTGTGCATTCGGGCACCGCACAGCAACTCTAGGGACTTGGTGCGTATGAGTTGCAGGCGGCGCTGATGTCATCATAAACAGCTGTCAGTGCTGTAGGTATTGGGATTTCCCTGTAGGCAGCTTGCAAGTTCCCTAAACCATGAGTGTTCCACCTATGGCCCCTCAGTTGTTGCGGAACTACAAGTCCCAACATGCCTCTGCCTTTGAGAGTCATGCTTGTAACTGTCAGCCTTTCAATGCCTTATTGGATTTGTAGTTCCACAACACCTGGAGGGCCACAGGTTGAGCATCCATGCCCTAAACGCTGTGTGCAATCATCACAGGTATATGCTCTGAATTAACACCCTTGTGTGCTGCCTGTCTCTGATCCTGGTGCATCCTAATTGTGCTGAATGGCTCTATCACCTGTGCAGGTTGGCTGACTGTGCAGTTCCACACTATGGATGTGTCATCGCCCCCCTGTGGCCAGCCCTTGCATAGCATTTATGAGATGATGTGTTTAACCCTTTTCTTCCCTCACTTGCCTGGGCATTCATAAGGTATTCAACTATTTGCTTTCTACCCAGTTTTGTTTTTTTGTCATTCCTTCAAGATCGGATCCTCAACACATGGCACAAGTTGATAGAAACCTCATTAGGTCACATCGACATCATTCTTCCAGATTTAGATGACATAGGTCAGCCTCAAGGTCCAGGCATCACAGGAGATGCTCTGATTCCTCCTTTAGGCATTGCACCCATTCCCATGTCAGCCACTCTGAGGAACTAGGCTGCTGGGGAGGTGGGACCCAGGTCCCAGATGGCAAGTCTCTGTGTGAGCCATGTTATGCCTGGGCAGTTGGGGACAGGGATGGCGATACCCAGCAAATGGAATCTCTGGTGAGGCGCATGGTGCAGGAGTCCCTTACAGAGTGGGATACAAGCTACATGCAAAGTCCAGCAGCTGTTATGGCATGCTCTTCCACTAAGGATGGCAAGGAAGAGCTGGAACCTTCCCAACCAAGCCATCAATCTATGAAAACCTCAGACATTAAGTCAGTGGGAGACGGAGACGAGAGATATTCTTTGCCCTAGTGATGCCTTTGGTCAAGGCATTTAAGGGGGCATTAAAATAGGTAGAGCCTGTAGAGTTTCCTAAACAGCAAAATGAAGTTCTAGAACTAAGGGACATCATTTTGGATCAAGGTCAAGAGAAAGACCTCCATTCTGAGCAAGATGGCCAAGCTCTATCCATCCAGGGATAAGGATGTGAAGCATCTAGGAGAATGCCTTTCTTGTTATTGAGGCCTTGTTGAGGCTAGCAAAGTATGTCACTCTTCATTTGGAAGATGCAGTGATTGGTCTGTAAGCCAGCCTTGGCTCTTGCGGCTATGTTTAAAGGAAATTTGGAAGGAGATTGTGGATGCAGTATTCTGAGAGCATTTTCTGATGAAGCAGCCAGAAACTCCCTAGTGCAGCAGCAGAAGTTGGCTTTTTTTGTTATCTGTTTGGTGGCGCGGGTTATGCCCTCGTCAGTTACGGTGAAGCGAGCATTATGGCTACAGCCTTGGCTTGCTGATCCTGGCTCTAAACAGGTATGATGTAAGATCCCTTTTGAGGGATCTCTAACTTTTGGCAACAAGCCTGATAGCACCATAGCCCTGGCCATGGGTGGCAAGTCGGGATTTTTGCCTCAAGACTGGCACTTGCTAGGCCAGAAGAGAACACAGTCTAGAAGAAGACAAAGTTGAGAGAGTGCAAGGGATGCACCCTTTTACAGACCAGGTTGTGATTTTAGGAAGAGCTGGGAAGAGGCTAGTCATTCCTTCAGAAAAAAAAAAAAAAAAAAAAAAAACACACACACACCATTTGACCTCAGGCAGTCAAGAAACTACAAAGTATTTTGAGTTTGGGCCTCTATCAGGGGCTATTGGACCATCAAAACAGTCCCTTGAGGACACGCATGGTCCTTCAGAAGTCCTCCTCCTCTCAGAATCCACAGGTTTGCCTCACTTCGAGGAAAAGAAGCAAAAACTACATAAAGTCACTGGTGCTGCTGTGCCAGTTCCAGAATGTGGGAGACTTCAGGGTATGTACTCACCCCTTCTTATGGTTATGAATAATGGCTCGTGGAGGCTGGTTATAGACCTCACACACCTAAAACAGTTTAAATCACAAAAGGAGAAGTTTAAGACGGAGACATTGTCAATGATTCTCAGGAGGTCTATACAGGTGTCTGGCTTGTTCCCATAGACCTAAAGATGCTTGCATTCATGTGCTCATTGAAAAAGACTTCCGCGAGTTCAATCAAGGCCCTCTCCAGCAAACTTGTCTACCATTCAGGCTTTCAACATCACCTTGCGTGTTTTTCAAAAGCTTATTGGCTGTTATAGCCTTAATCAGAACAAGGGGCATACGCTGGCATCATTACATAGATGACTTTCTCCTATTGTCCCAAGACAGAGGGAAGCTGCTGGAGCACAGAGCTGAGGTCATTTGTTCAATGCTCCTCAAATTTGTCTGGTTGCTGAATCTGGCTGAGCCACCTGGAGCCCACTCAGTCTCTTGTGTACCTTGGTTCTATACAGTCAAGAGCACCATTGCTTTGCCTCTAGAAATGATCCCAGCACTGGAAGCCAGGAAGCAAAATTCAGGTCATCTACCTAACCTCAGTCTTTCCTGGTGGCTACAACCGAGAAACGTACTCAGTCGCCATTCTGTTGCCCCCTTATCCTGGATCATGGGGGGGGGGGGGGGGGAGCACTTGCTACCCATCAGAGATAACTCAAGGCAGGTGGGGCTTTTCACTCTCACAAGATTGTGTTGAACATTCTGGAGCTACGGGAAGCCACCTGCACCCTTACAAGCCTTTCACTATCTGACGAAGGGAGCATCAGTGCTCCTAGGCTAGACAACACTATGGCAGTCTACTGCATAAAGAAACAAGGGGGTACTTGCAGCCTCTCTCTATTACAGGAAGTGGAGACAATTAGGTCAGAAGCTCAGAAGAATATAGCCAACATCTCAGCAGCTTGTGCTCCCAGAGTCCAGAATATTTTAACAGACTTTCTTTCCAGAGTCCATTTGGACAACAACAAATGGTCTCTCCATGTAGTGGTTTTTAGTGGATTCTGTCCCTAGGAGTGAGTCCAGAAGTCGATTTCTTTGCCTCCCCATGCAACAACAAGCTTGAGAAGTATTGTACGAGGGGGCGGTATCTCCAGGTCTACAGGACAAATGCCCTGACAGATCATTCGAAATTCAGCGTAGCCTATGCATTTCCTCCAGTTCTCCTCAGGTTTCTACAAAGACTCAGAACAGAAGATGTGGAGGTAATTGCAGTGTTGCCATATTGGCCAAACAGGCCATGGTTCCCCCTGCTAGTATAGCTCAGCTACTGGTATCCAGTGCCCCTTCCCCCTCAAGTGGGGCCCTTCTGTAGCAGGGTGCAGATTCCACATCCATGTCCAGCATGGTTGTGTCTGATGATCTGGTTCTTGAGAAGGGGAAAAAGGGAGATTGGAGGCCCTCGACTGTTCCTCCATAGTCATCTCGGCTCTCATGAATACTAAGAGTGAGCACAAAGTTTATGGGAGAATCTGGTCAAAGTTTGTGGAGTACTTGTCTGACGGGTCATGTAATGATCCAGAAGTTCAAGATATTCTGGGCTTCTTCCCTTCGGTTTTAGATCTGGCCCTATTGGTCAGTTCCCTCAGAGTACAACTGTTGGCCAAAGATGCACCTGTGAAGGTTGATAAGGCTAAGCATCTTCTTGTCCAACAATTCTTCAAAAGGGAGCAACTAGGCTCAGACCTCAGAGAAAGCCAAGGTTTCCCAAATGGGACCTCCCTCTTGTCCTCAATTCCCTCTCAGGAAATGGAGCAGAGTGTGCTAGGTCTGTCTTCAAGACCTGTCAAGGTTGCCTTTCTCGTGACCATCACGTTGGTGTAAAGAGCTATGGAAAATCAGAGCCTGTTACCTATGCTTGACAGAAATCCCAAAAGGAAACATCCATATTTCATGGGAACCAAGCAATTGTTCTGCCAAACATTAAAGTGCCTGAAAGTACTAACATGCATACTTTAGACATGGGAGAGGTTGCACTGTGGTTTAGTTGACTAAAACGCCAGTCTAGTAAACAAGGGATCCCGAGTTTGAACCCAAGAAAGGCTCCACTTAGAGTCAGTTTCTAAAACCAAGAGATTCCAGGAATTGCTCAGACACTCCGAAGTTATATAAGCTACAGCTTTCTTCAGGCTCTCAGATCATCTAGGATGATTGTGGCATTGAGCTAAGGACTTGGCTCCTCTGGAGGTGGTGACTGCTCACTCAACCAGGAGTGTGTCTACGTCTAGGGTGGCTTTACAGCATGTGGCTCCCGATGTAATTTGTAGGGCGGCCTTGTGGTCCTCGATCAACACCCTTGTGGCTCATTACTCTGTAGAGCCTGCTTCTTTATCCTCTAATTTTGTTTTTAAAGCCCTGTCTGTTGGCAGTACAAACTAAAGCATTGTTCATTTCCCACCCATGAGGGTATGGCTAGTTAGTTCCCATACATATGCTGCCTTGGAGTCTGTCAGGAAAATTTGCTATCAAATGCTTCTTTGCCTTTCCTGGTGGACTCCATGGCAGCAGGAGTACCCTCCCAATGTCATGAGTAGGCCAATTACATCTGGCTCTGAGAAAATATTTATGGGAGTGGGGTTCTTTAGGATTGGAGAGGAAGTGGGATTAACCCATACATATGCTGCCATGGAGTCCATCCATCAAGAAAGTAAAAATTAGGGTAAGTATTTGATAGGAAAATTTACAATTTTAATTGCATTAGGAGTGCTTTGGACAAGGCTACCCAGCATAGTAAATGGCGTGAATAAGCTCTGAATGTGGACTTCTCCATAATGCCTGCAGCTACAGAGGTCAGTGATG